TACAATCCATCAACAGGATTTTGGACAGCTACTGGCAATATGAGCAGTGCACAATTGTCTCATACACAAGTCACATTGATAAACGGAAATGTCTTAGTTGTTGGTGGACTCAGTATGACTGGTATAGAGAGTAGTGCAGAAGTGTACAATCCATCCACAGGACTTTGGACAGCTACTGGCATCATGAGCACTACACGAGAATACTACACAGCATCCATATTGCCAAACGGAAATGTCTTAGTTGCTGGCGGAGACAGTATGAGTGGCATATTGAGGAGTGCAGAAGTGTACAATTCATCCACGGGACTCTGGAAAACTACTGGCAACATGAACACTGCACGATTTCAGCACACATCATCCATATCAACAAACGGAAATGTCTTAGTTGCTGGTGGAACCACTGATAATAGTATCATATTGAGTAGTGCAGAAATATATGGATAATGATGATTGGAGTGTAACGTTTTTGATTAGTCTAAAATTTGCAATGTATTAAAATATTTAATCTTCGATTCTTTCAAAACACTATTATGCCATCAGCACAGAATTCAGTCATTGTTTCTCTCTTCTTTCAGTTGTGTGTGATTATTTGTCACTTTTCTCTGCTTTTCTCTCTTATTCTTTTTTTCTCTTCTTTATCATTGATATGTGTATCGATAGTTCTCTCACGTACAATACTCTCTAAATGCGTTGTTCTCTTTACTTTTCGTCTACAGCAGCTCGTAGTACTCCTTTTTTCGCGATTTATTTGGGCTTTTTCAATAAATATTAGACTTTATTTGTTCTATGGGAACTATTGCATTTTATCAATGAATTTCTGGATTTATTGGGATTTATTTTTTTGCGAGATTTATTACATTTTTTGTTAAATTCAGGAATTTATGGGATAGTTTTGAAAAAAAGAGAGAACTTATTAACAATTGGTTATCAATTTCAGAATTTGATTTTATCTGATATAGATTCTCTGTTCATTGACTTATCGCTATAAAAACATACTCTCATCTTTCATAATGAATATTGTTTACGAATCTTAACATCAATATGCTCTATATTATTTGGCTTTAGTTTGATTATAATGTCTTTGAAATGTGATAATAGATAAAAATTTTAAGCTAAAGTAGCTATGTTAAAATTGCCGTAGTATTATCTATAGAAATAGACAAATATTTATTGGAATATGTGTATAATAAAATAACAGTTTTAAAAATAGAAATGAAAATTGATACAAAAGTGTAACAGATTCACATCAATATGATATTAAGAAGAACATGCCATCAACAGTAATTAAATTGTTTTATATATCATTTATTTTAATTGATTTGAGCTTCATTGAGTCATTTGTAGTATTTCAGTAATGGAATATTTATTTCCCCTTAATTGTTTAATGCATTTTTTCCTTTTCTCGACTAACCTATTGTCAATATTAAGCGATCGAATTCTTTCATTTGTTTCTTTTAATGTGGCTGATGGTGGTGAAATATTAGTTTTAGTAGTTTTTATCCATTTATTGTTTATATTATTACACAAAAAGAAACCCTCTGAAATTTGTATTTATTTGCTTTTACTAGTTCGATTTGATATATTCGTGTTTATATTATTATTAAAAACAGATAGTAACGAAAGCATATCGTACTAAGTACTGACAGTATCAAGTTAATACGTCTTTATAATGAGACAACAATGGAAGATACAAAGGTGCTTATATTCATCAAAGACGACTGGCAATGCCATGTATCTCTTTTCAACCAGAAAGATAATTGTTCGACACATTGTGTATTGATCATGTGTAAATCTAGAAATATCGAATGGTTATAGTTATGAGTTATTTATGAGTTAAAATATTTACTTAGCTTACTTAGAGTAAGGAGACATATTTACTTTGCATTAACTTCCACCATGGTTCTTCTACTGAGATATGTCAATGTAAAAGGGTGTGGGTGTGGGTGTGGGGTGTGGGTGTGGGTGTGGGTGTGGGTGTGGGTGTGAGTGAGAGTGAGGGTGTGGGTGTGGGTGACTGTGGATGAGGGTGTGAGTGTGGGTGTGGGTGGGTGTGGGTGGGTGTGGGTGGGTGTGGGTATGGGTGACTGTGGATGAAGGTGTGAGTATGGGTGTGGGTGTGGGTGTGGGTGTGGGTGACTGTGGATGAGGGTGTGAGTGAGGGTGTGGGTGTGGATGAGGATGTGAGTGTGGGTGAGAGTGTGGGTGTGAGTAAGGGTGTGGGTGAGGGCGTGGTTCTGAGTGAGGGTGTGGGTGTGGGTGTGGGTGGGGATTTGGGTGTGGCTATTCACACTGCTTCACACCGACATCCTAAAAAACTTAAGGGACTAAAAGGACTAAAGAGAGTAAAAGGAGTAAAGGGACTAAAGGGACTAAAGGGACTAAAAGGACTAAAGGGACTAAAAGGACTAAAGGGACTAAAAGGACTAAAGGGACTAAAAGGACTAAAGGGACTAAA